GACAGTCGTGATGGTTTCAGCAGCATTACCCACCAGTCTGCGGGTCAGGCTACCTGTCAATAAAAAGTTAATTAAATTCTGCTGCTAGTCATTCAATTGGCACATTAATACTTATTTCGTATACCCCCCCCTGCCCGCCGCCTCCCCCGACACACACACACACATCATACCAATGAAATGCCAGGGAAGAGTCAGCATTATCACTGTCACATGAGAAAATCGAGCTACATTTTAAAACAAATAATATCAAGAAATCTGAAATAAAATTAAAATGTTTTGGACAGTTATGATAATTGCATCACAAAAATGATTTACATGATGACTTATTTTGCTCAGTCCTAAATTTTAGATCAAATCGTTGATGCACTCCCTTTTAACTTAAATTTGCAAAACAACACTATTACATTAAAAGCAAGCTGCATAAAGTAATATTGAAAATCAAATCAATAATAAAATAGCAACGGCACAACGCATTAAGTGCCAGACATAGACTGCTCTGAAAGATTTAGTCTTCTGTGTTGGTTGCAAGCAGATGCTAAATCTGCTGTAGTGAAAACTTTTTTAATGCGTAGATTTGTTTCTACTCTTCATTGGACCACATATAAGAATAATTTGTAGGAAGCCTTCAATCATTGTCATTAGTAACGTCACATTTCCTGGCAGGTGATCTACAATACACATTTGGTAACATCTAGTGGGGCTTCAGCCAACATTAACACCCACTTTGGAAAGTACTCAATCAATGAATTAATGCACTGACTTGATTGACTGTTGCATAATCAAGTGATTGTAATCATTGAAACCAAGGGTACAATTTTCTCCACAGTGTTTTTTTTCTTGTGTTGACTTAACCAATTTCCATATTGTAATGCCCATTGAATAGGCCTTGCATGTTTTGGTAAACACTTTCTTTGTCTTATTTTTTTGCAACAAGACAGTTTATGTCCAGGTCCAAACGTTAGTTTGGTGAGCTCCTCAAGTTCCACTTTGGTAATATCTGCAACACTCTGGGATTCGGCAAGGCAAGTAGAAAATGTAGAATGTATCTCCCAATCTTGTGATTACCTTTGAAAGAAAATAATTACAAGAGGGTTTAATGAAGAAGGTCCTTCATACCATTTGATCTCACCTTCGAGATTACACATCTATTTCAGCTTTGAACCGTTTCTTAAAGGATTCCGGGTCTGGTTCTTGACTGCCTTTCCCAGTAACTCATTCTAATGATTACTTGCCCTCTCTGTGTGTCATAATTGGAACATTCTTATTCCTGTCTTTTAACTACAAGGCGTAAAAAAGTGCTTAATGCACAGCAGTTTAGGCTGCAGTAGAACAAGATCATGCAATTGGAATAAAATTGACATCAACTCCACACTTCAACTTGATTTTACCCTTTTGTATAACCTGAACTGCACAGTCTTGTGAGATCTGCTAGGTTGTTCAAATGCTGTGTTCCGCTAGCGATCTTCCCTGTATCATCTTACACTGAGGTGTTAGAGAGGATATCTAAGAATCCTAGATGTATAATAAATGTAGGGCAGCGGATGAATAATTCAGTCATATCTCAACAGTCTTTTAATGCAGCAAATGCTTTGAAAGAACAGAAATGTCAACTTTTTTTCTGATATAACTACATTAAAGGGAAAACCAAACAGAAATGAAGGAATATCCAGAACCAGCCAGACAGCACACGAAGCGATAAGATAGCATTTCTAATTTTATTTTACATTGCTGCTTGTACAGATTTATATATATATATATACATACACAATCTATATATATATAAAACAAGATCCAGCCCAAAGGTATATCTTTATCACTTAAATCTAGCCAAGTTTTTTTTGAATAGGTAATTCACATTACATCACAAAAATATCCTTGCACAGTTTGCGCTTGCCTTCATACAACATTTTGTCCATCAGACCAAAAACAATAAATTTGGAGGCTTTGAATCTGAAATAAAAATGGAAAATGCACAGTAGGTCAATTCAGGGTGGGAGCCAGAGAGGGAGCACACAGGTTGATAGGGGTTAACAGGTCGGAGAAGTAGGAGGGGGCAAGGCCATGGAGGGCATTGAAGGTGATTTATTATTATTTATTATTAATAATAATCCTTGCATTTATATACAGCACCTTATCGCATCAAAATCTCCCAAACTTCGCAGTGGAGATTGTTGTTAGATAAGCAAGCACAACTTCCAACCCTCTAGCCAGCAAGACACCACCAATCCTTGAAAAGAGTTATCTTGGAGAGAACATTATAGAAGTGTATCAGATTTTACATGTGATTGAGAGACTGAAGCCAGAACAATACTACCAGATAGGACAGCGTAGCAGAACAAGAGGGCACAGGTTCAAGACAGCAAAAGTAAAGACACCTGGAAGTATTTCTTTACATAATAATCACTGCAACAGGCTTCCGAGGAAGAGTCTCTGAGGCCGGGATGTTGAGCTTGTTTAACAAACATCTTAATGCTACGATGGATGGACAATAGGATGGGTATTCTGGAGAGATGGCCTATTGATGGTCTGAATACCCACCCTATTCTTCTGAACCTGATTTTTTGAGAGCCTGCAGCATACAGGACACACCCTCCTCTTTTCTTATAGTGCCACGGGATCTTTAATGTCCACCTGAACAGGCAGGTGGGACCTCAGGTTTATGTCTCATCCATAGGACGGACACCTACGCCAATGCAGGGCTCCTCCAGTGCTACATTAGCGGCTCAGCCTAGCCTTTGAGCTCCCAGTGCTGAAGTAGGGTTTGAATCCACAACCTTTCTGAATCAGAGGTAAGAGTGCTAACAACTGAGCCAGGCTGACACCTTGTGATCACAATACAATCCTGAGATATGGAGCTGCAGCTGGAACTGATACAGGGAAGAACATGATTCCATGTTCTTAGCTTTGATCACTTTTGTCTGACAAATATTGAGAGAGCTAAGGAAGCACAGAGCCAGAAATGTAATTAGCTCCATAACTATAAATAACTAAGCCGTGATACAGAAGCTAGAGTACAAATCAAATTACAATCCAGTCTTCTTAGGGTTGAAAGTTTAACTGAGATTTACGTGACATTTTGCAATAGCACCGATTTAACCTGATAGGCTTGTGAAAATCTATCCATCTTGTTGGCTGCTTGTAATGCAAATACTCGATGGTTCATTCAGATATTTGGCTGTGAAATAGTATTTTTGAAATGCCACGTTGTATTGTTACAATATAGAGATAAAGAGCATCTTACAGTGACGTAGCACTCCAGAAAAGGTCAAAATAACCCAGTTGGGTGGCCATGTTCCAATCATAATCCACCAACTAAATACAGTTCAATGTCATCAATAACCGACATAGTATAGAGGAGACTTGGATCATCCTCATTTTCCAATTAAAGTTCGTTGTGTGGAGCTGGGAATCAAAAGGCATTGTATCATACTTGGAATTATCTTACTGTTTTTTCTTCGAGGCTTACATCATTACCAGGAGAATTATTCATTCTAAGGGAACTATTTTCTGTTTTTTTTAAACATTCTGATTGCTTCTTCATTAGTAGTCTCCAAAGTGATGTGAAAGCTCTCCAGAAGTCACAATGTTAATAAACTCTTTAATATCCAGTGTGCACTGTAATTGCAAATCTTTCCTCTCTGCTTTGGGAAGAACCTACACTTTTGACTCCTTTAGTCTTGCAAAAATATAATTAATTGGATCATGGCTCATTACTATAATTTACTTTAAAAATGCATAGCCCTGTCAGTAAAAGGAATTTAAAAACTGGATAGGGATTTTTAAAGTAGTTGATGACATTTCAGTGGAATCGTATTCATATTTGGAAACAGAAATAAAATTGAGCCAAGATTAGGGAAATGTGGTTTAAAATATGTTATGAATTAGAATTTGAAGCATCTATTCTGATTTACCTGGTGTATCTTGAATTTGAAATACTTTCTTTCCTGATGCGTCTAATGTATTCAGTACCCTGAAGGCAATATATTGGAAAAAGCTCATTTCTCAAAATAGGCAATTCATTAGGATGTGGCAACCATTCGTACAGAAGAGAAAGGCGACAATAAGAAAAATAGTGATCTTCTGAAATGAAACAAATGAGGGAATAAGAAAGGCTTAACTGGGGAAATTGCATGGCTGCTCTCTGAGGTCATTCTGGTCAGCTCTCTTATGCTTAATGTTACAGTAGTTTTATTACAGCCTCTCTAGTTTATTAGGTTGCGGAGTAGACTAATTTGCAAACTGGTGAGTTTAGTGCCACTGGGAGTTTGCAAATGAGGAAAAAATCTAATGTCAGACAGAACTGGGGTGATCACTTTATTGTAGAAAAGTCCAACTTTAAATGTCTTTTGTGCAGTTTTATTACCTAATGGTTTTATTATTATTCAGTTCCTGCAAATTGACAATGACAAAATGGAGGGAGAAGAGATTCTTCTGTTCCAGGCTTTCTCTATTATTAATGAAATCAGCCATTTCTGTGAAATTAATTCCATAGCTCCAACCTCGCCTGAACAGGAAATATTAATCCCCCTACAATTCTCTCTGATCTACAGATGGTATTTGTTAACAGTATAAACATATAATTCAGCATTAGGTTCTTGCTGGTGAATCATTGATCTTCGAAAGAATCAACCTTGATAATAATTGCAATGAACCGAGAGGATCAAGAGGAATGAATCTTCATTTCACATTGTGCTGTGTGGCCAATACATCTGCTTGCTACTTTTGTACTGTATGTTATACCGTACTGTGTGACAAAAAGTGCTGACATTTAGCAGTGCTTTCTGTGAAAGTATGTTCAGAGTAGCCTGTGGGCCTCTTTGCGATTTGATCCTTATACAACTCATGGACTTGACATCATAACATGCTCACAACTTCATCATTTGTGTTTTATCCAGTCAGGTCCGCTCATAATATAAATATCATATCGGGCCATTAACCCACTGGCTATCTTTCTCTTCCTGCACATTAGATGAATGATTTATGGTCCATTTCTATTGCAGGATATTTCAGAACTGGTTCAGAAAGAACTGGTGCTGAAGTAGCCTGAGGCAAATGGTGCGAGGAACCTGCCCAATCTCCATTGCGGGATGAAATCCAAAGCACTGATGATAACACAACGCTGAGGGCACATTGCAAATTTGGCATCCAACACATTGAGAGACAGTGGGGGGTTTTGACCATTTGTCTTATCCTCAGTGCCACTGATAGCAAGGGTGAGATATTGACCCAGTTTGTATTTCTCAGAAGAATTTCAGTGCGAGCTTCCCACTCATCTCCTGTTAACCCTGCAAGCCATAGCCCGAACAAGATAGGATGCTCCTAGCTGGATAGGCAGAGGGATGCTTGTCAGGCAGTGCTCTCGATGGCAAGCTATGCAACCTCAAGCATAAGCCCATTGCACATTCTGGGATCCCCAAGCATTGGGTATCACCGTTCTGCGCCTGATATTCTGGGGCAATACATCAGCAAGATGAATCCCTCCAGGGAGAGAGTTCATGCACAATTCCAGACAAGGGGAGCTATCCGTGTGTAAGTGACACCTATATGTGGAACTATCAGACTGGTTTGGATACTCTTAAGCACGTGTCAGATAACCAGCTGCCGACAATAAAATATATTGTAATTCTGCTACTAAACACAGAGCAGAATGTTATCAGTGGTAACGCGATAAAACTGTGCAAACATGGCTTAAGAGGCAACACCACTTGCTAATCTGCAACACAGCACCAGTGGCAACTCAGGGAAACCTATGGGTTTAACTAGATCATGAAATGTCACAGTTTCGAGCCTGTTGAGGTTCATGTACACAAACCTGCGTATCATGCAACTTGATTTCCTTAGAAATATTATGTGTCTTTTTATCTCTTGTATTTATCTAGACACAGGATTCAGTATCAAGTATTAACCATCAAACACTGTCAGGTCAGGTATAGCATTGTCAGGTGCAGAATAAAGCCCTCTAAACTGCCCCCCCAAATGCCTCTTAACCATAATTTTACAGGATTTTGTTTTTAGAATTGCCATGTCAGCTATTCTTACAATTTCTTTGGTCTGTGCCAAATTGCGCGATCTTCATGGTATGAGAGCTGTGCCCACTCAGAATAGAGGTGGGATGATTATTAAAACAATAATAACTTGCATTTGGTATAGCACCTTATCACGTTGTTGAGACATCTCAAAGCGCTTCACAGAATATACTGCAAAGTGAATTGACTGTATATTTGGTGGCTGAAAGGCGGCAGCCAATTGCACACAAAAGTTGAAACTCATTCTGTGGAAAGAACATTACAGCCAACACACAATGTTCGCTACATCAGGACCTGGTCTAGACTCAAAAGAATGGTGTGCACATGAACCTGCGCCATCTACAGCAATAATCCTTGCATTTTTGATATAGCATCTTATCACGTCTTCAAAACTTCTCAACGAACTTCACAGAATATACTGTGAAGTGAATTGTCTGTATGTTTTGTGGGTGAAACACTAGTTTCCTTCTCCTGTACATTTCTCGTTGAACATGGAAAAGTAACTTTCAGGTGATGTAGCAAATAAATTTTATATGGCACATAATTTGCGGTGACTTTTCACACGATGGTCCATAAAGCTGTTGTATTCCTGAAAGCACCATTAATGTTCTGTATGAAATGAAGAATGGGTCAATTTAGGCAGTTTTTTTTGTGCTGTAGTGTATTGGAACTTGAATTGTACAATAATGCCATTTTCACATGAATATGTGAGGCAGTGTTTTTTTCTGTGCATCGGATAAATATCAACACCGAGACATCATTGCAGTCTTTGACATGCAGAAGGATGTTATTGCCTCCATTTTATACTGTAACCGTTCTTTTCAGGAATGAAGTCAGAGGATTTCATTCCACTGAAAAGCAATGAAATTGAGCAATGAGCAAAATATGTGTTTGTCATCCGTCTTCTCGCCCCTCCTCCTCTGATCTAACCACAAGGGAGATTTCTGTATCATCAGCATCTCAGCGACAATGTGGCATTGCTTAGGGTTTCATTGCTTGGGTTCAGATGAACCTTCAGTGTTGCCTGCGTTTTTTTATTCTGAAACCATCAGTGGGGAAGCTAATTGGCTCAGTCATTGAAAAAAACATGTCTTTAATCCCCAGTGCAGTAACTGAGTGCACGACAACCGATACAGCATTATATTTATCAAAGAAGAAAGGATTTGTTTGGGTCATATCTAACTTTCTACTATCCCTTTGGGAAATGCTTTAGTTTTGCGGTTTGCAATTCATCACCGCAGCAGAAAGTGGGTTTTCCCAGGTTTTAGGACACATTAAAGCATCTCCATGACTGAGAAGCGGTGTCTCTAGTATACTGGGACCTGCTCGATGCCAATGAGAGAACCTCACTTGGATTTTGAACAGAGCAGATTCATATGAGCACAAAATGGGAACACAGCGACATTAATCAGTTAGTGTCTCACCAGCTGCTGCTTATTTGTGTGTGTGATGCACCACAGTCTCACTTCAATTCAAAATGAGGTTGGATTTTTGCCACAACTGGTTTAGGTTCCACACAAAGCTACTCATTGGCAGTGACACTATTGAAATATCATTATATATCTGTTAACATTAACCTGATTGGCTGTGTTGTGGCAATCATGGGCAATATGCAACCCATTAACAGACATTATATTTCAACCATCAAATTGCCCTTGACCTTCGTTGCAGCTTTCACCCTTAAGAAATTAAAATGCAGATCAACTCCACTTCAAACAGATTTGTTTAATTTGGCACCTGTTCACACATCTGGATCAGTTTTCTCGAGATGCAAATTCCGGGCTTGAAGGAATTGATTAGGGACGGATTGAAATGTGCTGAATCCAAGGCAGCTGGGAAGAGTGACACTGTTGATCAATGCTGCTTCTATTGTATTCCTAATGTGGAAATATTAAGGTGATTCCATTCAGATACTGGCATTTAGTTTATTTGGTGTGTGGAAGGAGCGGGGGTGGGGTGGAGTGGGGTGAGGTATGAGGCAATCTGTATCTGGTACAAATGGTTGGGAAATATTTTCCAAAATATTTCCAGAAATTAATTTTGAATCAATCAAAAGCAAATCAGCAATTTGCAGATTAATGTCGGTTTCAGTGTTAGGCACATGGACCGATATGGATTGATGGATTGTCATTGAAGAGCTTACGATACTTTGTAAAATATATACTATGTGGAATCATTTATTTAAGCAGGAGTTACAATTTTGAGATGCATTTGCCAAGGCGTCACTGGTTCCCTTTCACTGCACTGAATGAAAATTCTATATCAAGTGCAAGGATTATTATTATAATTATTATCTCCCTTTTAGATCTGGTACCGAGCTGTCTTATGTTTATGTTCTCTAGTTTGGGACTCACCAACAACTGGACACATCCACCTTAGAACGGATCAGTATTTGCTGATGCAAAAATGGACAAAATCACCCCCATTTGTTTCTCTCACTCAAAAAAAATCCTTTGCGTCTAAATCAGGGATGGGGGAGGGCGTGGGAGAAGGTCACACTGGTGACAAAGTATTAATCTCTCGACTGTCGATGGTAGCAGCCAAAGTACAACACACCACTGTATTTAATTAACGACTGTGTCTCAGTTGCATTTCTTTTTATTTCATCCTTTCCAGGGGGAAATGCATCATTGCTTTTGCTGGAGGTGTTATTTACAGGCATTTGGTGAACAATTATTTTAAATAAAATAAGTTCTGCCGTGTACAGTACTTGCTCTAAAAGAGATAGCTGCCCTGGACCCCACAGTATTGTTCTGAGAACAGACCAACAATTCAACACAAATCCCTGTTTTTTTTTAAACAGATAAGTCCACTGTATTATATAGAATCACCCACGTGAAATGAATGTGGAGAGCGAGCTGGAATTATCCGTCAAGAATCCCTTTGGGTCAAACGCGGCTAAAGGAAATCCAATTAAATCAGCAGGGAGTCTGTTCAATCGTTTAATCGACTCTGCAGAACGGCAGACAATTTAAAACCCAGTTTAATTGGTGAAAATCAACCTCATCATTGCTATTTGTGACATTTTCACACTCAAAAAATTGAAAGGTAGAGAGAGGCTTTGCTAAATGCCGAAATCAGGTGAAAATGTCACGCAGGGCACTTGTTCACCTGTCATGGTGGGTGTACCGTGACACCACTTGCCAGTAACCAGCTCTCGGGCCAGCACAGACAGTGAATGTCGTAGACTATTTGACAGTGAGCATTGCACTCAACAACCAACCTGCTGTTGTCTGATTGCCACACAAATATATCTCTTGGTAAGAGTGGGGGAGGAGAGGGGGCCACTGGCTACTAATTAGAAGCAGAAAGCCTGACCTATTTTTCTTCTTCTAAATCTGAGAGCCTTAAGGATAACTATGGTAAATAATAATAATAGTAATACGAATAATATTTGTATTTGATGCAGCACCTTATCACGTCTTCGAGACATCTCAAGGCGCTTCACAGGATATACTGTAAAGTGAATCTATTGCTGCCCCTACAAACATCAGTCGCTATGTAGGGTTCAACCAAGAACCTTCTGGTCCGGTCCATACGCTCAGCACGTTTAAAAATCCACTGGATAGCGTTGATAAGTCTGAGCTGAGCAACAAAGGAAAGGCATACGTGTTAAGTGAGGATTTCTTTCTTTCCTGTAAACCCATCACAACGAACCCTTGTTCTGGTCAATGCGACTATTGACCGTAAACTCTACGATCGATCAATCGATCGATACAGTAACCAAAAAAGCAATTATTGCTGAAATTATTTTTACATTTAGAAAGGTTTGTGATACATTCTGCTGGTGAACCATTTTTGTTAAAAACAATAAATTTTTCATGGTTAACAAGCCTGACAGTTCAACTGGTGACAGTAGATTGTTACCATAGTGATAGGATATGTAGTAGTTTGCTGTGGAACATTTGAGGTGAAGATCTGCTTTGCCTTTTTTCTGCCAGTTCTATTTTATCTGGTTTGGTGTCTTGAACCTTGCTTTTCTGTCCCATCTTTTTCTTGTTTTGTCCCTACAATAGCATTACAAAAACTTTATTTTTTTAACCTCACCATTAACCTGCTGCAAACAGTGAACCAATGTTTGAATTGATTTTCATGTCCAAAATAGTGATCCATCTCAGAAATGTCTGAGAAGCACATTGTCAGCAAATCGGAGCCTGAGGAGCAGAGAATTCAAGATGGGATATTGGTCTGGAGAGGAATATATTGATAGGGTGGAGCAAGACTGTGGAAGGATTAATAATAATAATAATAATCTTTGCATTTGATACAGCACCTTATCACGTCTTCGAGACGTCTCAAAGTGCTTCACAGGATATACTGTAAAGTGAATTGATTGTATATTTTGTGGGCGAAACGCGGCAGTCAATTGCACACAGCAGCGTCCCCACACACAGCCGTGGATTGAGTGACCAAATTTTTTTTTTTTCTTGAGGGCTTATTATCAGGAGTGTGGAGTAAGGAAACTCGCCCAAGGTTTCGCTCTGCCGGGAATTGAACCCAGGTCTTTTGCTTGCCAGGCGAGTGCTCTAACCACTGAGCTACAGGATTCCATATACTGTAAAGTGAATTGACTAGAAAAGCCAAGTGCAATCTCTCCAAGTCTTTTTGTGTTTGCAACAGTCACTTTATTTTCTTCCTTGTTTGAAGATATCTCGGCTTTTTGTTACCGTTGTTTCTGGCTGCACCACATTCTGCTTTTACCTGATCTGCATAAAGGCGGAAAGTGATCACATCTGTTTTGCTCTCAGGTGCAAGAAGTGATGATAATTTTTATATATTTTGGGGGAAACAGCAAATGCGGGCAAACGTTCCAAATCTTTTCTGCTGCGGAAAGCATTTTCCCCGAGGCTGATTGCTCCTTGTCTTGCACTACCAAGCCTCTTCTTGAGGACAATCTCCCCAGACACCATTTGACATTGAGATCCTTGCAGCTGTCTCGCCCGCTTTCTGTGCCGGGGGAGATGGCTTGCTTCATGGGAAGATGAGATGCGATGAACGAGTGCGTGAGGTTTTTTGCTTGCCAAAAAAGATTTCCTCGGGCCAATCGAAAACTATTCCGACAGCAAAGCTATATTTTATTCTCCCCCAAGCTCAGTTTTCTTATTTCATGTTGTTGTCTTTATTGATCAAAATGATCTAAGATCAAGTGAATCGTTTTTGGTGGTTGGGGTGATTAACTTGCACAACTTCATTGCATGAAATACCGTGCCATCAGTCTCTCACAGGTGCTAAATAACTCATTACCACCTCCTGAGAAGAAAATTCTGTTCTGCATTGTGCATTTTCACAATTGATCAGTCAGGTGAGCTGATGGTAGTTTATAGCTTTGGCCAGATATTGTCTCTGGAATGTCATCGCTGGTACTTCAAAGATTTAAGAAAGTTTGTGCTTCCGCCTTTCAAATCATTGAAAACTCCACAAAGATTATAACTCTGCAATAATATAATTTCACCATCGAACGATCAGGGAAACAGATGTACGTGAAAACGAGTCAATATTTGTGTGTCAGCCAAGCTCGGTTGGTAGCACTCTTTCCTTCGAGTCAGAAAACTTCAAGGATTTTGAGCTCATTGTTGAGCCAGACACTGCCATTCAAATGCTGGGGGAGCATTGCATTGCCAGAGCTGCTGTCCTTCGAATGAAGGACTGATCGGGTGGATTGCAAAGCACTATTCTGAAATGAGTTTCTCCTGGTGTCCTGGCCAAATAGGCTTCAGTGCACAAATGATAATATGTGTACATTTCTGTGTGAAAATTAGCTGCTGAGTTTGCCTACAAATGCACAATCACTAACGATGCTTTAGGGAAAACTCTTTGAGACATTGCAATACTCTGAGACTGGCTGGAATGACCACCGTTTAAGTCACGCATATTCTTCCTATATTCCTAATGTCAGCTGCTTTCCTCTAATTCAAGTACATGTTGAGGAAACTTTTTTTTACAAGTTACAATTTCAAGAGAAAAACAAGTGAAGGCAAATTTATTTTAGATTCTTTGACTGGCTGTCAAAGAAATCAAATATCGATATATTTTTATCCAACACAGACCTGTTCATGCTGAGTATGAGTGAGTCATGGACTAAGGAAAAGATAAAATCCTTTTATCTCATATGTGATAGCAAGTGGAATATGCATCAGGAAGATTTGATCTGACAGCAAATCTGCCCATTCCAGAAGTACAGTTGATTGTAGTTAAACAGAACTGGAGCTGATATTTTATCCATGATGGGAGATGAGAAGTGGCAGAACAAAGTGAAGAAACACTGGTCACAAAGCCAGCCTCTGGATTATTACATTTTGTCTGCAAAGTTGGATAACATGAATTACATTCTGTATGGACTTGTGCTGTAAGCATTCTACCTCAATGGTAGTCTGGCTTCCTGAAAGGTCTCTAGATTGTCATGTAAAATTGGAGCATCGATTCATAGGGGAACACTAATTCATGGGGCGGTGGTGGGAGGGGCAAAAAGCATAAAATATCCGCATGTTTAAAAATTTTATCGGGCTTAAATAGAACTTCTGAACTAGGCTGCATAGGGTGGTAAACATCAGGAATCATTCACAGGAGCACTTAGGAGATTTCCTGATTTCCCATACATTCAGTCCGCCCATGTTCTACATGGACTTGTGCTTCAAACATGTTGAGACCTGGCTAGGCATTCAAATGGCAAAACAAAAAGCTCCTCTCCGCTACCACCTTTTACAGATCAATAATGGTGTGTTGCCTTTGTTCTTTCAGAAGCTAGAGGACCAATGCTTTTCTGTGAGTTTTTTTTGCAGATTTGTTCGATATGATTGCACGGTCAGATACACCAGATGCAATGCTCTCTCTCTCTCTTTCTCTCGAGTCCACAATGTGGTTCGGGCCAACAGCTCACGGTCTCATCCTGTTCAATTGATACAGATGTCCTTAATTTGGTAATTAACCTCCAATCTAAACAATTGCTGGTTAATTCTTTAATTAAGAACACCTGCATGCATTTAGACATGGTTAACCCATGGTCCAATTAGACCAACCCCTATTTTTTGGCATGTCTCTCTCCTCACTTGGGCTTCCGCATGAAACAGATCTATTTGCAAACAAATGACCGCAGCTATAAAAAACCAGGTCGAAACACATCAGTTGCACATGATATCATTGTGGAAAAAAACAGAACTACAATGAGGAAAGTTATTTCATCCCAATGTGGATCTCACCAATATTGCAGTGACATCGTCTCCTTATCATTGCTGCTGGACAACTCTTTGGTTGATGGCAAAAATACTCTTGCGGTATTTCTTCTCACATGAGATATTGTCATAAGGTACAATATTTGTCCAACAGTTGGTACTAGGATTCAATCACCATTCTGTATGTATCCATCACTGGATGAAAACGTGCACAATTTGGAGAATTACGTGTACAATGAGATGAAAGATGGCCAAGCATTACTTTTTAAAAACACAAATTGTGCACAACGTATTGCTTAAACACATGCAACAAAAAGGAGGAATTCAATCGACATTAATAAAACACTAAAGTTAGGCTGTTGTGGCGTCTGATGTCCTCCGCTGAAGCCCTCAGTGTGATGTAGCCTTGTAACACTCATGCAAACAGCTGGTCGATACAATTTTCTTTTGATCACTAATGTGTATGAATTTCAGACGATGTGAGAGTTTGTGCCTAAGGCCATAATGACTTGCAAATACGGTTGACAGTTACCCTTTCGGAAACAATTATTGACAGGTTACTGGTCTAACGATAGCAGTGCAACAATAAAGGTCTATATCGAGCCACTTAACTCTTTTTATTGTAATGTTCACAATGCCAGACATTGCCATTGTGACAACAGAGCTTTGTGATTTATAATAGGTTAGTTAATACATTCCAGTAAGACAAGGATGATGCGACTTGCATAGAAAAGGTGGCCAGGATATTATGGTAAATCAATTGGAACGGGCACACCTTTGAATTGCAGGATGAAAACTCAATACAGCGCAGGTCACTTATAATTTTTCTGCCCATCTTGTTGCAATAATAATAATAATCCTTGCATTTGATACAGCGCCTTATCACGTCTTCGAGACGTCTCAAAGCACTTCACAGGATATACTGTAAAATGGATTGACTGTGTATTTTGTGGACGAAACGCGACAGCCAATTCCGCATAGCAGCGTCCCCACAATCAGTCATGGATTGCAGTGCAACAATGTCTGTGTGAAAGCGATGTAGGAAGGCAATTGAATAGTTGATCTATGGAATTTGAAATAAAATCTACTATTGTGTATTCCCATAAATACAAAAAAGTCACATTTAGGGGGAAATAATACAATTGAAGAGGGTAGAGTGGATTGTTCCATTTATGTTTGCTTGTGTGGTTCTGTTTTATTTGTGTTTGAAGCTTTGTTCCAGGCATAATTCCAGGTGAAATCAGGGTTGGGAGGACAAGAGACCACCATTAAATCAGCCTTTGCTCCCGAGGCGAGTGTGATTTAAACAGTAATCTTTCACAGATGACACCTAATCTATGAGTATAAATTACTTCACAGTCTTAGTATTCCTTAATTGAAGTATACCATAGTGAAATTGCAGTAGACGTAGATGGAACAATTGTAAATGAATTCTTGTAAAATGTAATAATGTTCAGTTTTCTTTAGTTAGTAAGAAATTCCATTTCACGGCTGTGAAGTACAGTGGCCACATAAATGTGTCTTGAATGTGTTTTAGAATATCTATTATAATCAGGATCTTATATTAGTTCATTAGCAGGCAGATGGCAAAGGACATACTTTAAAAAATGAATGTTTAAACTAATTTACTGAGACTGAGCCTCAACGATTGATACCACTGACATGTTCCCCATATCTTTGTCTTTTCGTGGTTATATGTCTTTATTTTTAATCTAATTGATATTGATTGACAGTGTTTTGTTTGGTGCACAATCCATTAGTGAGTGGAGGTTTCAATGGAATTGATTTGTGTGGATAATGTGTTAATTCTTATGTCAGACCACTGTATTTTAGATTGAATAAAATCAACCCTTGTGGGTTATAAAACAAAGAAACATCAGCGGGTTCATCTGGGTACATTTTGAGACCTTCTGCTCTCTTGAATAGACAATAGACCAAAACTTTGTTTGAGAAAGATCTGGTCTTTACTTAGAGGACCGAAGGGAATCATACAAGTTCAACCTGATTCCGTGTGTTTCTCCATCATCTATCAGTAGAAATATCTGGACTAACTTTTACAGGGCTGCGTTACTTTCTATTTCACCATCACAAGAGCGTTTTGCATTTTACTTAATGTAACAATAATCAGAATAACTGTAGACCTGGATAGTATAGAGCAAAACTAGTTAAAGGGATCTCATTGCTGTTAAAATGTCACTGCTGCTTCTTTATATTAAATAACTTGTAAATCATCACAGTTATTCTTCTCTGGAGAGTATTTCATATGCTCTGCTTGTTACCGCGTTAAGTTTGTTGAGTGTTTGTTTTGAATACAGTTGAAGTTGACCTTAGGATCACAGCAAAGAGAGAAGCCATTTGGCTTAATAAACTTGTGAAAGCAATGGAAAAAAATTGGGAAACAGAGACTATGAGTTAATCACTTGTGAGTATCAATTAGAAGTTATCTAATGTAAAATATTGGCCACAGCTTCTCACATTTGCACGATTCCTGATCCACAAAGTCCTTTCTTCACTGTTGGGAAGGGAAAATGTGCCATTGAGTTAAACCTATACACTCTCTTGCCAGCTACATCTGAAGTGATGTAGGTGGAACCCAGATCTGTCCATTTGTTTGCCCTCTTGGTTGGTAAATAGCACATAACATAGAGATGCAGAACAGATGATTAAAATAATTAATGCTTATTTGAAATTTAAATGATTGCAATTACAAAAAAAGGTTTTAAAATGTTAATTTTTTTTGCATGGAATTCACTGATTTTACGATTTGCTTTTTCAAAAAATAGTTAACTCGCAACATATTGTTATTGTGTCAGAATATCTGAGAAATGTGAAATGTGATAATTATCTGTCTTGACTCATCTATTTTACTTAAACGTCTTCTCCTATCTTTCTGTTGGTACAGGATTTTTAAGCACTGGCGACCAAGCCGCTAAAGGAAATTATGGGCTACTTGATCAAATACAAGCATTGCGTTGGATTAGTGAAAATATAGCTTTCTTCAGTGGCGATCCATTACGAATAACCGTTTTTGGATCAGGCGCTGGTGCCTCTTGCGTCAATTTGTTGACTTTGTCCCATTATTCTGAAGGTAACCGTTGGAGCAATTCAACCAAAGGTATTAAGCAGGTTGAAAATTTTGACAATTTTGGTGTCTGCATGCCACCGCCATTAGTATCATGTGACACTCTGTATATTGATATATAATTGTGGACTAGAACTCAGAAAAGAGCAACTTTTTGGCTGTACTCTATGGCTTTTTATTCTGAGTCAACTCTTCTGTGCATGCTCACATTTTGAGTGACACACTTTCTCTATCCAGTTGATCTTTATAAAACAACAGCAACAAAAAAAAAAGACACTTTCTAAGTGGACTTCTGAACAGCACACCAAAGCAGCTGCCTTTTTCGGCTGTTTTCCTTTCTGACAAAAGTGACTGTCTGTCAAAACGAACCAGCTTCTTGAAATGTATGCCACCAAATTACACCACAAACAATGGCAGACATATTTACAAATCTTTTTGACGTGCCACTTATAACATTCTACTTTTCCTTCTGGTACCAGTGATGGTATCAGATTTGTAGAATCGAAAAATAAAACGAAGGAAAAAAAAAAAAAAAAAAATTTTTAGTGCCTGGTTCAGAAATCTTTTGTTTGAGAATGCATGAACCGCTTGCTGTCATCTGAAAAACGTTTGAATGTTTTGCATGCATGATCCAAAATTGTCAAAGCATCGAGGTCACAAGCAGATGTTTATGTGCGTGAGTATCTGTTCTCCCCCATATGCCTATCACTAGAGTAGATTAGCTTTTAGGTAGAAGGCAAACTATGTTGTCCATTGGGTCATCACATTTACTTCCAGCATTTTGCACTCGACACGCATCTCATTCACCCTTTACTGCATGACCATTGCCTGCCGATCAGTTCTGTTCTATCTTGTCCACTGTCATTACTGTCGTGTGATTTCTTTATATTTTCCTTTTTTTTTGGAAATAAACAAACTGAATCAGGATATACAGCTCCTGACAGAGTGCTGCTATTGCAAATTTGCCACTTTCGTTAATTAATTATTTGCTGAAATTGTGCAGATTTTGCCTTACAAACATTTGGCAGACATTGTCTCAAGGTGGAGCCTGATTAGATTGAGGCTGATAAAGAACTTCAGACATGTCTCACAATATTTAGGAGAAAACTTGAGATAGTAACAGCATGGATTCTTTTGCCTCAGATCTTTGCTGTCTGTTTCAATGGTCCTCAATAACTTTGACAGCACCAACCCATTTCCATGAGTGGCTGGGGCCCTGTGAAAGTGGGACGATTCAATATTATCAATATTTTATGTATTGATGATTTTTCTGAAGCTTATTCACATATTGGACTTGAGCTTTGAGCATCTTAAAGCGAGCCTTCAAATGCACTGACCAATTTGTGTACTTTAAGTTTTAAATATTTCATCTTCCTTCAATGATCATCTGTCATGCTGATGCCTAGAACCATTCCTTACACTGTACAGCGATTGGATTAAAGTTCAGAAAGTTGCCTCAGNTTTTTTTTCTAAAGTGCAGGTGCCAGTTTAGTACAGCTCTTTCTGCCTGTGCTATAACATTAAATGCAATGAATATTTTTCAGATATGCTACTTTTTTTTGTGTCCTCTTATTTAAACGTGATCTCAAAATATTTTGTCTGGTGTAAAATAACTAAAATTACTATGTGGTTGAACGGTCGAGCAGGAAATTTCTGAAATGTTCTCTTCTTTCAGGCTTTTATATCTGGTGGTGGTACTAGAGAGTCAAAATGGTCTTTCACTTTCACGTGTATTTCCTAACATGTCTTCCGCAGAATGAAACTCGATGCTCTTTCAAGTGCAAGGGGTTTTCCCCAGATTTGTTTTTAATTCCCGTTCGTTCAATCCAATCGAATTATAGTCTATAAGACTCATTCCAAACTTGTATGGAATTTCAATCAATTTATTGGAAATCCATTCAGTTTTGTGTTTGTGGCCCTGTTAATTTGTGCTAACCATTTTTCCTCATCAAAATGTAAACCTCATGCGAGAAATGTGTGCGGGTGTTTTATGATGAAACAGTGGTGAACAGAAAATCGCTCAATACTTCATGATAACATGCTCTACTAGAAACATTTTTGTTTAACGTGTTCTTAGTGGACATTTAGTGAGACGTCTAGAAGACGTGAAAAGCGCTATATCAAAATGTAAGGATTATTATTATTGTTTTCTGAAAATATTCAGAACTAATGTCAATTTCTTTTAACTGTGGTCGTTAATTGAACTCTTCAATCAATTATCACACGGAGACACACTTACTTTCTTCTCTGAGCTCTTCCTGTTCATTATTTATAACATTAGGATTTAACCAAGTCCCAGCTAGAATAATATGTACATTCCAGGAACGTTACAGAGCATGCCCAAAATTGCCTGTGCAAATAATACATAAGTTACAAACACATAATACTATGAATAATTGGCCTTGTCATATTGTAAGTACAAAGACACATCACTAGCCTAAATAAAATCAAGGTCGTTTTCATACCTAAAAGCTCTCAAAGTTAAATTGAGTTTTACGCTTAATAACATGATTCAGTGCTGCACAGGATGTATGAAATGACATAGAACGATTTCACATATTTATGAGTGTCTACTTGCCAATTCTTGCCATAATCAACATTGTTGATAGAACTGTGGTGTTGTTGCAATCCGAGTGCAGGTGGAAGCTCATTTTAGTGAGAAAACAAAGGTGAGGTGTTAAATACAGTTGTTCAAAATGTTGAAGTGAAATGTGTAACGTAAGTGTGTACTAAAATATGTGATTGACCAAAAAGGGATTGGTCTGATCTTATGGTATCTGATGAGACCTGCGGCCTAGTTTGCTCGGTCAATATATAATTCTGAAACCCTATTTAAAGACGTTTAATGAGAATTACTGTATTAATGTACTATTATTATTACCACTACTCTTTGCACCACTTTGATGATCAAGTGCCACCACTAGTGACCATTATTTTCTAACAATTATATTTCATGATAAATCCTGATAACTTTCTTAGTACCCTTTATGATGTCTGTCCACAGGACTATTTCAGAGAGCGATAGCACAAAGCGGCACTGCTTTGTCCAGCTGGGCAGTCAGCTATCAGCCAGCAAAGTTCGCAAAACAGTTGGCCGCCAAAGTTGGCTGCAACATGATAGATACCGTTGACTTGGTAGAATGCTTACGATCTAAACAGTACAAGGAACTTGTTGAACAAGACATTCAGCCTGCGAGATACCATATTGCCTTTGGACCAGTCATAGATGGCGATGTTATACCTGATGATCCCCAGATTCTTATGGAGCAGGGTGAATTCCTTAACTATGATATCATGTTGGGAGTGAATCAAGGTGAGGGATATAAATTTGTGGAAAGCATAGTGGACAATGAGGACGGAGTGTCAGCTAATGACTTTGACTTTGCTGTGTCTAATTTTGTGGATAACCTGTACGGCTATCCTGAAGGCAAGGATGTCCTAAGGGAGACCATCAAATTCATGTACACAGATTGGGCGGATAGACATAACCCAGAGACGCGGAGGAAAACCTTGTTGGCTTTGTTTACTGACCACCAGTGGGTAGCCCCGGCTGTAGCTACAGCTGACCTTCACTCAGGCTTTGGTTCTCCTACTTTCTTCTATGCCTTTTATCATCACTGCCAGAGTGACATGATGCCAGCTTGGGCTGATTCTTCTCATGGAGATGAAATCCCGTACGTGTTTGGAGTTCCGATGATTGGTGCCACTGAACTGTTCCCTTGTAACTTCTCCAAAAATGACGTCATGCTAAGTGCAGTGGTAATGACCTATTGGACAAACTTTGCTAAAACAGGGTAAGTAGATAATAGAAACTATGATGGCCATGGAAATTATACATCAAAATAAGTATTCATTGAACAGATGTTACCATCAGTGATATTACTGTGTGATACCGCTACTACAGGTGTTATTACTTTCACCCCCAAATAAATAAAACCAAATACAATTACTAAAGCTGCAGTTACATTTGAAAATTACCCCAAATTGTACCTAAAAATACAACAAAACAACAACAACTTGCATTTATACAGCAGCCTTCTCACCTCGGAGTGCTGAATGTTATCAATTGCCTTCACCATCTCTCAAAGCAAAAGTTCGACTACAAATACTTTGTTCGTACAGAGCGATCTCAGAAAAAATATAAAAGGAAAGGAAAAATAAAAGTACTGTTAGTTTGTGCACCACTGTAAAATCATAGTCAACCATTCAGATTGTGAGTGAAATAGAAATGGATGAGAAATGTTAACATCAGCAAACTGTCTGAATATCTCAAAAAGTAGAATGAACTGCAGTTCCAATTTTTTTCTGGAGAGGTTCTTTTTATCAGTATTATTAAATCCAAGAATAATAATTAAGGAGAATTGTCGCTTTAATAGCAAAACAAAGAATGAAAATGGGATTTCAAGCCTATGTGGCAGCAAAATTGAGCATTTATGTAAAACGTTACCAAAGATTTTTCTTGTAAGTGGGAAGGGATTCATACTCGATAGCTCAATCTGCATTACCATTACTATTTTTTTCTTAGACTTGACTATTTATTCACAATCTTTTAACGTATTAAACGACTAACAGCTATCTGAATAAAATTAAGTTACTTTCTAAAATTTTATGAAACACCCACAAAATACACTTTACAGTACACTTTTCCGTGAAGCCGCTTCGAGTCATCTCCGCAGCATGATGTGTCAAAAACACCAAGGAATATTATCATTAAATTACCATTATTAAGTTTAAATTTCTGATTTATTCCACACAGTGATCCAAATCAACCAGTTCCCCAGGATACAAAGTTTATCCATACTAAACCGAACCGGTTTGAAGAGGTGGCCTGGTCAAGATATTCACAGAAAGATCAGCTCTATCTGCACATTGGATTGAAGCCACGTGTTAAGGAACACTACAGAGCTAACAAGGTGAACCTGTGGCTGGAGTTGGTTCCACACTTACACAGTCTAAATGACATTTCCCAGTACAGTTCGACGACAACTCGAGTCCCTTCGGAGATCACACGCAGACCCTCAAAGACACTGTCTGTCACAACCAAACGTCCTGTGACGTCGGTCTTCCCCACTGTCAATCAGGAAGATCAGAAGCACTTAGCGGGTCCTTTCCTGGTGGATCAGAGGGATTACTCCACAGAGTTGAGCGTGACGATTGCCGTTGGCGCCTCCTTGTTGTTTTTGAATATCCTCGCCTTTGCAGCATTGTACTACAAGAAGGATAAGAGGCGACACGATGTTCACAGGAGATGCAGTCCGCAACGCAACACCACAAATGACCTGACTCACGCACAGGAGGAAGAGATTATGTCACTGCAGATGAAGCACACCGATCTTGATCACGAATGTGATTCCATCCACCCACATGAGGTGGTTCTGCGGACAGTCTGTGCTCAAGATTACACGTTAGCAATGAGGCGATCTCCGGATGATATCCCTCTAATGACTCCCAATGCCATCACCATGATCCCAAACACCATACCGGGAATGCAGCCTCTTCACACGTTCAACACGTTTACGGGAGGACAGAACAACACTCTGCCCCATCCTCACCCCCACTCACATTCGACGACCAGGGTATAGCCAAACACGGCATTGAGAAAGCAAAGAGTTCTGCTGCAGAAACAAAGTACGAGATTACTAGTGAAGATCAGATTAAAATTGGTGTCCATGGTGCATGACCATTGCTAAATAATAAGAGAAAACAATCTTTTGGGTAACCGGATCCAATACAACTGGGTATTGTTGGGAGGCGAGGAAGTTTGGACCCCATCTGATCATTTTTTTAAATTGTCGTTGGTGATAATTTCACAATTCTGTTGGGAATGGAAAAAGCATTTGAGTCTGAAGACATTGAACTGTGAGTTCTGCTTCGGTGCCAAGATACGATTGACGCAAAGAAGAAGGATTTATAAGAGAATACTTAAAAATCTACAGATATGCACAAGGAGCAAATTTGTAGTTTGACATAAATTCTGTTCGTTTTATTTTTTGGAACAACGCCATTGTACAAATTTACATAAATGTACGTAAAGTACATGCTATTAAGGCCTGGGTGGAATATTCATGCACAAGGAAATAACTACTCTCTGCCAGTAAGACAGAGGTATAAACCGATTACTGCCAATGAACAGCTTTGTTGCAAAAGTCCTGTCAATACAATTTTGACGATCGAGGGAACAGGACATTTTTAGCACGATACGCATGATTATTTATCTGCTTGGTGACTGTGCTGCTCAGTAAGCTGTGATAAAAACATACTTTGCATCCCCATTCGAGTTCTTATTGAGAAGATGCTTCCTTCATTGATTGTCACAAACTGAGAGGAAGAGTTTGGTGGGACTCCCAACACAATAAGTTCATAGTAGTTTCAATGAAAAAAGATCAGACAAAGTAGTTTTGTATAAATATGTGCTAGAATAATTGTTGAAGTGAACACTCACGGTCATAAATCCCACAAAAGGGACTTTTCAGTGTTGTAATTTTCTTCATTGTATTCCTTCCCTTTTCTAACATTATTTGGTGCCAATTTTATTACACAGACCATGCAGTAAAGGGAGGTCCTGTTTACTGTAATTTATCTATAGGTCTACATGAAGTGGTTAATCGGAGTACATTTGCCTATATGTTTGTGCAAAGGCTGAAGATGGAAGTAACCCAGTGCCAAAACAGGTGAACCTCCCAATATATGCCTAATTAGAATCGATTTTATTAGTGGACAATATGTGATAGAATATTGCCAAGATGTGGTGGGAAGGGTAACACCCTTTTGTAAACAGTCCAGTCCAGAGCTACAAAGATGTGGTCTGCCACGATGCACATCGAATGCAACACATGGCAAAATGCCCATCTTATTGTAAACGTTAACCATTTTCATTTCTAACAGTCCTGCGAGTTCGAAAGTTTATAACTTGCTCAAGTTAATGTTACCGGTGTAGCATTGACTGGATGTAATGGCACTGTCACCTGCTAAGAGTAGAAAGAAAATATTAATATTGCCAGAATGACTTTTGCCAAATTATTTTTTATTTTCTAGGATATGAATGGCTTGCAGCATTCCCTTGATTTATTGTGCATGCCTAAAAAGCAGTTTTTATTTATCTAAAAGCATGTTGCAGTGAAATTCATCTTTTGCCCCCCTTTTTTTCCAAATATTAATTACTGCCTTTGTCTTGCAATAAATTAAAATACCTCATCTAACCATCTGCCACACGATTTCACGCCATAATGTAAACCAACTCTAAGGTTGTTCACAACAATTCACTTTCACCTAGAAAAAAATCGAAATAAAGAACTTAGTGTTAAGTGCATATTTGCTATTCATTTGAAGCGCCTTCTACATAAGTATAACAACCGATTTGGATTTTTTTTTCCTGAAATTTGTGACAAAAAAAAATCCCAATTAAAAAGTGGAAACTACAAGTGTGGAAGAAACTGCTTTGAGCAGTGAAAGCTGGACAGTTGTGAGTAGGGTTTGTAACCAGAGGGGATGATGCTTGGCAATTGCTTTTTTTTTAGTACCAACAAGCAAAGAACAAAGTTTTACATTGTGTGGTTTCTTGACAGTAACAAAGCTAAGTGAGAATTTCTTGATTACATCTTTCATTTACTAGGTCGAGATTTGATAAGGTTATTGTTTGTCTCTTTTGGAAAAAAAACAGCAAGGTAACCTCAAGCATTTTTCTGCATAAGGCTTAATATTCACAATAACACCCAACGGTGATCTGAATCCATTGGAAATAGCAAGCAGAAATCAGTATCTTCTGTAACATTGTTCAGTGATATATAAAAGATTACAGTGTATTTTCTGTGCATTGGTTACCTTGGCATACCATTTCAGATGTATTGTAATTAGTAACCCATTATTTTTGCTGCTGTAATCTTATGGCTTTAACTGTGTTACACTTCAAGAGAGAGAAAGAATCAAGTGCATAAAAAAAAACCTACCGTACTTGATAACCGATAACATTAAAGCTGCAATCCATCCGTAGCAGATGTTTTACTTACAAAGGGTTTCGCTTGTTCCAAACGTCGTTGAGAAGGTGCAGAATTGTGCGGGAGATCAAAGTATTTTTGTAAATAAGAGGAAAAGCAAGCACTTTGATCTGACAGCTAATAGTGATGTTATCCCATATGCAACACATAAGAAGGTTTAAGGAAACCCATCAGTTGAGGAACGTGCTCTACGGCACCTGTTAAAACTCCCTTTAGACTTCATACAGTCCATGATGATGATGGAGTCGTTCAGGGGTATGTTTGGAGCCTGAATGAATACGGACAGCACTTACTTTTTTTTTGTGAAACGTTTTTCCTGCAATATTCTGATTTCATCGCGTATGTTGATTTGGAAAAATGTTATTTTTTGGTTCACATTAAAATGACAAGCCTAGCCTCAAGCTCGCCACTCTGATTTATTGTGCCATATTGCAGCTTTAATGGTTTAGAGGAGACCGTCGTTAAGGTTTGCGGTGTGAGTCTCACTGTTTAATACAGTAAATGTGACATGAAGAGAGAAAAACAGAGGAATATAAGGAAGCTTTCGAAAGTGCCCGGACACTTATTTGTTGCTTGTAAATTGTTTTATCTGTTGTGCTGCTTGTTTTGAGGTCAGTTGCCTTTTTTAAAAAAATTTCCAGTGATAAGTTGTATTAGAATATTGCTTCTTACTGTAAAGCGGCGTTAGATAATTTGACTCAACTTCACGTGGATCGTGTTCCAGAAACATTTGATTATTAAAGTACACGAAAAATCATTTGTTAAAGGTTCTTTTCACAGCCAGAGTTCACAGTAATATTTTGCCTAGTTCTGTACTTGTGTGTAAAAAAAAATATTTTTTTTTTGGGTCAACAAATACGATGTTTTTTTTATTATTTTAATTTTTTTTGCCGGTTGGAATTCCTTCGAACATCTTCCTGCCATTTAGAGCAAGCGAGCAGATATAGGAACCGTTTCATTTTATTTGTAAAGGTTTGAGAGCCTCAAAGTGACTATACAGTTTGTGTTTGGACGTCCATTGTCTTTCAAGAAATTTTTAATATCATTAATAAATATTATCATATTTTTTAACTTGTCCTGAATGTTCCTCAGTGTTCCTTGGGCAAAGTGTTCACCTGATGCACTTTGTGTCTGGAGCATTTGCTGTAGATGTACTCAATGGGGCTGACAACTTTTTGCCCCCCAAAACTGTTAACACAAGGAATGTTTCTGACTGTAAAATGCATTCGTTTTCCAATTGGGGATGTTGTTTTTTTTCTCTTTCTTTCCTCTTCCCATGAACACGGTTCCCATGGAGACTTCCTGCCTTCCTGATAACCCACCCACTTGGGCAATCTTCACGTGTGAGCTGTGTCGTAGGTTTAAAACTAGTGATCTTTCTATTTATGCCTTTGCAGTGGGAAATGTCAGTGAATGTCAGCAGTGCATTTGATTATAGAGTCACCGCAGCCCATCCTTATCCTGTCATCAATCATAGATAAATATAGATGTGCACAAACCTCACCCACACACTTTTCCAGCAAAGGTTTCCTGGATCAGGAGCAGGAATTGATCCCTGCTTTTTGCAACATTCCCCATGTCTCTGACTGAGATCAGCAAGTTCAGCACAGAGTTATTTGACGACATAGGTTGTGTCTGTTGACTCTGTGGTGGTTCCCTCTTTGCCAGTGACAATGATTTGCACAGGAACCACATGTAAACATCAGCCATTGATGAACAGCTGCTCAGGCCAGCTGATAAACCATGGGTTATGATGGATCCTTGAGACAATAATGGCCCTTAAGTTTTATTCATGGCCATCAATACCAACTGGAAAGGCAACTTGTATTTTCGGGGATTAGGGGCATATCCAAGTTATAAAGTAGCATTGATTATTCCCTCTTGTGTGTAAGGGCTTCTGGTACTAAAGCAATACCTTATTAATGCAAACTCCATTGGTCGTCCAGGTAGTTTGCAAGTAAAACAAGGAGATGTTTCATGTACACGCTAATTAACTCAGTGGTTGTCCCAACACCTTCGTCCTCTGCGCCTCTGCTGTGTCGAGTCTGAAGGAGTTGAACTGAAGCTTGGAGGGTTGACTGACTGCTCAGGGATGTGGGATGTCTTCAAAAACCTTATCAAAATCTACTTTTTCAAGAATATGTGGTGTCGGGGGTGGGGGGGGGGGGTCATAGTCATCAGTTCTGCTGCACTTTTAAATCATCTTGTACTGATGGAGGTTGGAGACACGGAAGCAGGTCCACTCTCCTCTCAGCAACCATCTGGATTAGGAATCCCACCTGTGCAGGTAACTTGGAAATCAGTCCAGCACATCTCAAGGTATGTGTGGCTACACAGATTCACAGCGCCATGTCCATGTGCCAGAACCAGCTTTATCTACAAACCCTATTTTTTAATGAATTTGTGCCAAGCTCTAGTGCTGGAGGTTAGTAAAGTACAAGATTGTTAATGAATTAACAATGTATATAGTGTGGGGTAATGTACAATGTAATGGCTGTATATTTTCTAGGTGAATTATGTTGAATACTCATTTTAAAATATTCAACTGAGGATCTTTTGAAAGTGAGAAAATGGAGAGTTTAATAAGTGGTTTTTTTATCCTTGGCTCCCATCCCAACTGTTTGATTTTTCTCATTGTGCCTTGTTCTTCCTGGTTCTTTCATCTCTCCCCTGACCTGGACAATTTCTGTTCTGACTCCCTGGTTTCTTTGCCCACTGTGTCTCATCCCATCCTGGTTCAATTGCCTCTAGTTTCCAGCTGCCTTACTCTCTTTGATCTCCGCCCTACTGGAAGGTCTCTCTGATAGCTTTCCAATTCCTGATGAGAGCCTTGCCCTCTGCCCTCCGATCTCTCCTCATGGTGACACAGCCTCCGATGGTGGCAGCAGTCACCGCATGGTCACCATTGGATTGAAAGACTTAACAACAATTGTGCTTCCTACTGATGTTCAGGAGATTAGGGGGAGAAAGGAAACCAGTGGAACTGTAAAGGGAGGAAAAAAGGCACAGAATCCAGAGGAGACAAAGAAAGAAACACTTATTTTGTTATAGTAAGGTAAGTCAAGGCACTTACAATGGAACCTTTATTACAATTGGCATTAAACATTGCAGTGTCAACTCATACATTTGGCTCCAGGTCTGCTGATAGCACTTACAGCATGATCCTGTGCATGTATTCCACTCAAACAGGGACAACAGCTGAGAATTCACACACAAAAATGTGCAATTGACTATCGTGTTTCGCCCCAAAAAAACAGAGTCAATTCACTTTACAATATATTCCGTGAAGCGCTTTGATACAGTGCTTGATGACGTGATAAGGCGCTATATCAAATGCAAGGATTATTATTATAAAAAAAAGGACAATGCAAACCTATCTGCTGAATCAGAAGGTAAAACCATTACCAGACATATAATTGGATAGGGCATGATTCATTTTATAAACTGAATCAAATAACTGCATCTCACCTGCCAAACTGCAATGATGGGAGTGGAGTAGACAACTCCAGTGACTCGGCGTGATGAACCCAATGGCCTCCTGAGCTGAAGTTTTACGATTCTATTATACCAGTCAATTGGAAAGCATAATAATTCAGGTTTGCTTACAAAAACAGTTTTGATTTACCATCTATTCCACACCAAAGACCCCTTTGTGATGCTCGATCATAAATGCGGTAGAACTAATTACTTGCTGTTGTGGAGAGAACTATTGCCAGCATTCGAGTATTAGGCGACTTCTGCTGTCTCAGTTATGTAAATCAGCAACGGAAGCCAATAGATTAAATCATTTTACATTTAAAACCTGAATATGTTTTGGTCTATAATAATAATAATCCTTGCATTTGATATAGTGCCTTATCACGTTTTCTTGACATCTCTAAGAATATACTGTGAAGTGAATTGACTATATTTTGTGGGCGAAACACGGCAGCCAATCAAACACAGCAGTTTCCCACAGACAGTTGTGAATTGAGTGACCAAATTATTATTATTTATTAAATTTTGGAGGGATTATTATCCCACCGGAAAAGCGATCTGCCAATCGACTAACAAACGGGTTCCGATTTACTGCTGGTTAAACAGAGGCATGTGTGTGGACTAAGGAAACTTGCCTAAGGTTTCGCCCTAAAATTGAGAAGAGAGTGCAAATGCCAAAGAATGATTGAAATGTCTGCCAATGATAAAAAGCTACCACTGACATGATGCTTGCCAGGATGCCATTTATCTGCAAGTGAAAATGTCTGAGATTTGACCCTGAACGGCAACACGTCGAGTTTCTGCCAGAACAAGTGAGATTTCAACACTATTAATCTGCTGTTTTGTCAATTATCCTTCAATGTAATTGTCACTCATTAATCCCTAGTTTTGTGTGGGAAATAAAAAATGGCTTCATCACTTCACTGTTCAAGGAAGAGCACTTGATACAGCGGGGATTGTAAGAAAAAAGAACAAGATGCAGTATTTGCCTGATTTTAGTTCATAAATTCGGCAAACTTGTGACAGATAATTTAGTGAGATGGTGTGTGGCTATTGTCATCGTCAACAATTCTCCGTGGACTTGTCCGTTTCAAAAGGAAAATCACAAATATTTGATGAAGGAAAATATGAGAGGCTATGAGCTAAGGGCAGAGGAGGACAGATGCAGTGGTGTCCAGGTACGATAAACCAAATGGCCTTCTCCTGTGCTATACAATTCTATGGAGTCTGCAATCTTGGGTATAACTTGCATCAGCAAAATTACATCCTGGCTTTGCTAATTTGGTTGAAAATTTGGCGGGTTGAGCGTCATCCTGCTCTGTATCAAACACTTCACAGAAGGTAAACAAGGATAAGAGTCTCAGTTATCTTGGGATTATGTACAATAAGCTGTAATAATTTTCTTTGTAAGCATTAATTCGTCAGTTGTTGCTAGTTGAGGTGATTCATTAGCTACGCCAAGCAATGAGCCTCTAATCTTATGTAGGAAAGTGAAATAGAAATTCTTCAAAGCAATATTACAACTGCAAAACCTACAATTCTGGCCAATGGAGAAGAGGACATTTATTCTGGGGATTTAATTAATAAACAGACCGATCCGCAGAAAATACACAACAGAAGGAAAATAGAATCTCAGACGTGAGTCACTGTATCTCTTCGGCTTAAATGTGTGTTTGATGCTGCTCAGAAAATAGAGAAAGGTTTGCCTGATAACAAATTCACTTTGATGGAGAAACTGTGAAAAAAATACCTGGTGAAGGTGCAGCAATGAAAGTGTGTGATGCTGTCAAGGTCTTAATATTTCCAACAATCTTTTTCTCATGGAAGCTGCAGTTGCTGGTTATCTTGTAGCAGCAACAGTTTCTGTCAGATTAAGGTAGTTTTAAGCCAGGCCATCAGTGCTGAATAACCAAGATCATTATAACCACAGCTTCAGATTGTTTGGCTGTATTCGATCTGCACCCAGTGTGTCAGCCTGGCTCTCAGAGGGTTACTTTCTTGCCTCCGAGTCAGTTGGTTAAGGGTTTAGGCTTCAGAAATGTTGTATTTGTTAGAGGTGCCGTTCTTCAGATAAGACGTTAATAAATAAGGTCCTGTCTGCCTATTCAGGTGGACGTTTAAAGATGCCATGACATTTTTCTAGAGAAAAGAGAAGGGAGTTTCTGACCAACAATTCCCCAGATATGATTGGTTTCCCGCTTCATGGCTGTTTGATGGAACATTGCTGTGAGCAAATGGGCCATTGCATTCACCTATAACTACAGTCACTTCACTTTCCAGTGTATCCTGTGAGGCACTTTGTGACTGTCTCCTGCCATGGACGGAGCTATACCAAATGCAGGACTATTATTATAATTAGCAGACTGATGATATTCTACGGTGATTTTAGATAAGTGATTACATGTGGAGGTGGAGGGGAGAGCAAAATCTCACCGAACTGCAGAATGAACTCTACACACATCTTATTTTACAGAATCTGTCCCCTTTTGACTTTGTGGCATGTGAGACTTAAAGTACTTGCTCGGATCAATGCAAACTCACATTATTTCGATCATTAAACACAAATAAGTCACAAATGCAAGAAT